AGTCAGTGTACAAAGGGTCACCATATGTCCCTTTATACACTAAAGTAACTGAGATTAGTTTGTAATCAGGGTGTTGAGTTTTAAAGGCCAGTGCTTGAAGATGAACAAAGTGCACTAAAAGATGCAGTTTGTGTTTAAAGATTTGCAAAACTGTGATTTAGATTGATATTTAAGAGACACTATTGGACCCGATTTCGTCAAATTTTACAGACTCAGGCGAGACAGGAGCATCTCTGATAATGGGGGATTTGCAGCAATAAGCAGGAGTTTTACTGGGAGGAGAAAAGGATGCATTAAATGAACACGATTCAGAGAGTAAAGTGTCTTATTTTGGCACAACTCCTGGAGCTTCAATAACCTGCAAATCAAACTGCTGACAGCTGGAGTGTTAAACAGCTAATACAGCTAACAGCTGTGTGAATGTATGTGCAAACTGTTCGGGGTCAGAGTGCTGAAGAATGAGCCTGACTGTGTTAGTCATTTCCCACAAGTGTTTGCAGCATTGCAGCAGGGGTATGGCAAGAGCATAATAAAGACAGAGAGGACAAAAAAAGAGAGACACATCCAAGACACGTTTAAATGAAAAATACTTTTCCTTAAAAAATATGTCATCAACATTTTTGTTCTATGACCCGAGACGAGAAATGTAAAATATTTTACAGACCTTGTATTCTTAACTTTGCAATATTTGGTAACTATATATGGTGTGTATTGTAATATTGTGTATTTTTGTATTTTTGTTGTAATTTTGGAGAGAGAGAGAGAGAGAGTGAAAATGAGTGTGAGTTCACTTTTTTAGTTTCCCAGCTCTCTGCTGCAGGTGGCCAGTGGTCGGGTTACAACCCAGTGAAAGTACTAACACACACACACACACACACACACACACACACACACACACACACACACACACACACAAACTCTTCTTATATGACATCTGAAAATTCCTATGGATTACTTCTAATTCTAGTGACAGATGGACAAGTGTGTGTGTGTGTGTGTGTGTGTGTGTGTGTGTGTGTGAGTGTGTGTGTGTGTGTGTGTGTGTGTGAGTGTGTGTGTTTTAGTGCGTCTGTGTGATGTGAGTGTGTGTGTGTCAGAGCAGCTGGTAGCATGAGGAAAAACCTGCAGCAGACCAACCAACAGGCTGCAGTGACTGTCAGACACCTGTTTGGACCCCCTCCTCTTTCTCCTCCTCCTCCTCCCCCTCCTCTGACACTTGATATGTGGGAGAGGGAGGCTGCACGGGAGGTGGACTAGGGGTGAGACAAAAACAGATAGGGGAGAGAGGGAGAAACAGCTGGATCAACCGAATGTTTCCGTTTTCTGTTTCCTGTCTCAGATTTGTCAGGACTGTTTCTGACAGACTCTTAAAGGGACAGTCTGTAACATTTTAACTTCTGACTGTTTATGATTAACATCAACATACTGTGACCAACTTCTTTCAGCTGATGAAGGCTTTCAAATTTAACTCAGACCTTCCATAGTCAAAAATAAGACATCAATCTACACTCTCTCTGAAAGACAACCAAAAGAGTGGTAAAGATCTTGGTCCAAAAAGTGATAAATCCATTTTTACAAAAAGTGCACATAGTTTTTTAATCAACCACATGCACTCGGGTTAATATCAGGTCCAGTTACCACAACACATAGCCTTTTAATGCCTGAAACCACAAATTATGGCCAGAATGTTTATTTCACTTACAACTGAAAACCAAAAACATCAAAATGTCCTTCAAATTTAACAAATATATATACCTCGATTGATACATTAAATGTTTTTGGAATCTGATTAACCACAAGAGTAGATTTTTATCATTTTTAGACTGATTATATTGATTTGATGGAAGTATCAAATATGATACAATTCAAGAGTTAAACCAAACTTTTAGAGTTCATTTTGACAAACTTCACTTAAGCCGAGCCCTGTTCAAAAATAAAAGTAGAGCTGAAAAAAGAGGGAAATAACAGACTTTCTCTAAATCCATCTTCTCAAATTTTGTTTCAGTGATTAGACAAAGTTATACACATGAAGTTATTAAGTTTCATAAATGTGTGATCTCTGAAACGTTATGAGGATAACAATTTATCTTTAAAATGTCGGGATTAGCCAATAGAAAACAACAAAAAAAAAAACTTTCTTAAGGCCATAGAGGTTGTATCCTATCATGTAGTATCATATCATATCATATCATATCATATCATATATGATTTTATATCATATCATGTGGTATCAAATCATATCATATATCATATGTCATATTATATCATGTAGTATCATATCATTTAGTATTTTTCACATCATATTATATCATGTCATGTAGTACCATATAATATAATATCATATCATATCATATATCATATCATGTCATATTTTATCATGTAGTATCATATCATATCATATCATTTAGTATTTTTCATATCATATATCACATCATATCATATCATATCATATCATGTAGTATCATATCATATCACAACATATTGTATAGTATTATACAGTATCATACTGTATCTTCTCAAATCTCTCTACATTGTATTAAATTATTTGCTATTGTGGCCAAAAAAATCACATCATATCATACTGTGTTGTACTGTATCACACCTTATTGAATCACTCAGCATTATTAGTTTTTTAACAGGATACCTGAATGAGCTGTCTTCTTTCTCCTCTTACTGTACGCTGATGTTTGGAGTTGGTGCGGGTTGTCTTCATGATTTATTCTGTGTTTGCTGGGAAACACGGGATGGACGGGCTTTAAAGGAAGCTAAGGCCTCCTGACCGCAGACAAGCAGTGCCAAAGCCGCAGTCAGACAACAGGTGAGCGGTTACGCTCTCAGGCACGTCTCATTGATATTCTAACCTATTGCACTTTCCCAGGCAGAGGACTCCCCTGTGGAAACACATTACTGCCTTACCCCCCCAACCCCCTCCGAGCTTTGATCCTCTCAATGTGAAGCAGATCTCTGACCAAGCTGAACGGAGGTTCATATGTGCAGGAAAGTTTAGACTGGAGAGCAGAGAGTGTTTGAGAAAGAGTCTGTGATAGTCTAAAAGGGAACATATCAGGAGTAGAGTGGAGGTGCATTGTTATAATTACAGTTAAAGGGTCAGTTCACCAAATTGGGGTTAGGGTTAGTGTTAAACATTCACTGTTCTTTGTTTAAGTTTCACACTGCTTGCTTTTGCTCCTTGTTACTTTATAAGTGGCCAGTGGTCTTTTCTCCTCAGATTTTGCCCCACCTACCATGGATGTATTGTCATCAGCAATTTTTAAAATGTTTGCAGCCCACTTAAGAGTAAGTCGAAGTAATCAAAAAGGAGTATTTTCAGTAGTATTATGATAACTTAGACTCATAGCATATAAGCATCCCTTTCCACAAGACAATTAGCCTGAACTGAGAGTGAAAACAGTAACTCAGACAGAAAGAGAGGGAGGTTTCAGAGAGAACAAGGACTTCCTTTCAGCAGGCTGCAGGTCAGAGCTCAGTGAAGCTCTTTCTGAATCCAACGCCTATGTTTTTGCTGACCTCTGGACATTTAAGGAGGCACGGGTCACTGCCCCTGCCTTCCCAGGGTGACGGTGTGCGGATGTCCGCTCGCTGTGCCTGGCATCTCTCCCTCACCTGGGGTGGAGTGTGCAGGTTCCAGCCTGCAGGATTACACAGTTTGACAAAATACCAGCAGAAAACATTCAGGAAACAAAGGTTTGATACGTTGAACAAGGACTCAATTTACAAAGTGTGAGCCGATGCAAGGAATAAACTCAAATTAAACACAGATGTCAAAGTCAAGGTGAGCTTAATAAACATTTCTATTTTCAGTGCAGTTATGAGCAAGGTTTGGTGAAGAGCTAATCAGAGGGACGTCGTAACATCATATCATTATCTAATCAGCACTGAAATGTGGCTCGTAGTGAAACAGCTACTAAAGGGGCAAATCTGATCGATGATTGGTTTGTGGATTTATAATTTTCCACAGTTTTGGCTCAAAACAGAAACCTTAGTGTGCAATAAATCATATTCATATGTACATGCTGTACACGTCTATATAGTAAATAAGACTTGTGTGTATCTTTATTTTCTAACTCTAAGTTTCTTTATCTCTTAATTTCTCTTTTTGTATTTGTATCTGTGGTGCTGTAATTTGGAATCTCCCCCTGTGGGACTAAAAAAGGAATGTCTTATCTTATCTCATGTCATCTCATCTTATCTTGTCTCACCTCACCTCATTTCATCTCATGTCGTCTCATCTCAACTCATCTTATCTCACCTCATCTTATGTCATGTCATCTCATCTTATCTTATGTCATCTCATTTTATCTCATCTTGTCTTCTCATTTTTTCTCATCTTATCTCATGTCATCTCATCTAATCTCGTTATTTTATCATATCTCACCTCATGTCATCTCATTTCATCTCATCTTATCTTATCTCATCTCATTTTATTTCATCTTATCTCATGCCATCTCGTCTAATCTCCTGTTATCTTATCTTAAATGAACAAACAAGTTAAAATGAAGCTAAAGAAGTTCAAATTAAAGCGAACCACAAAACTACAAACTGCAACTACTTTGACTTTTATTCAGAAGAAATTATGTCATTCTCAGAAAACAAGGAAAACCCTTGTGGCAAACATCATTATCCTTTCTCAACTGAAGCAGAAAAAGTCAAAAAGTTCTACAAGATCTCAACTTTTAACAGTGATAAACATAAATGATACATTTTGACAGGGTCAAAGATGGGGAGTCTGATGCTCGTAGCAGGTCCACAGCAGCAGCAGGGATCCAGAGGAACCTGGAGGGAGCTCAGGGACTCCCAGAAAAGGCTGTGTACTCATGACTCTAACAGGACGTGATGATTCAAAGTCAATGATATAGACATAGAAAGGATGGAGAGGGAGGGAAAGGTGCTCCATGTGCCAGTAACACTAGTTAATGTTCTGGTAGGGTAATTATAAACTGTATGAGTTCTCGAAGGTATGATGGTGCCTGACCATGAGGTGCTTTGTAGGTCAGAAGAAGAATTTTAAATCCTTCCCTAAATTTGACAGGAAATCGGTGAAGAGAAACTAAAACAGAGGAGATGGGCTCATCTCTCCTGGTCAGTGCTCGGGCTGCAGCAAGTACATGCAGATATTTGTTTTCAGTAATAAATAAATGTTTAATTTTCATCACATTTTCATGCATTTTCTCTCTTTTTTTCAGCATATGGATTGGATCTGTTTTTTTGTCTTTCAAGTCTTGTCCCGTTGTTGTTTTTGTTGTTGCAATCACACAGAGAGTAAAGGAATTTCTGTGTTTTGTATTTCTGATTCCAGTCATCTCAAACTCCCCTCAGCCTCTCTGCACAGAACAAACTTTCCTCAGACGCTGACGTCACGAACCGCTGGCACTGCCTCTATGAAACTTTCTGACTTCGCTGAGATGAAATGGAGGAGTTTTTGTTTGAGCAATTAAGAGCAGGATTAGGATTTTTTTCACAGCTCACTCCAGCTCTCCCTCAGAGTCACGCTCATGAGGAGCTTTTGTGTTTCAAATCAGGGGGGATAAAAGAGCATGTAAGGCTTCAGAGCCCTGCTCAGGGGGTTTTAGGAATGAGGGGATCTTTTCGCCTTTGGTGCTGATAATCGGCGGCTTCTCTCGTTTCCCTTTAGCACAAAAACCTCCTCTGTCTGCCTCCGTTACTCTCCAAGGGAGAGTTTTCACCTCCCCAGGGCAAGACTGAGCCACCTGTAGGGCTGAATTTATATCCAGGAGGAAGATGCTGCTCAGCGTCTCTTTACCTCGGCAGAACCAGAGTTGGTCTTGTGGCTTTTATTCATTAGTATTAGTTAAAATTTTACTTGAACTGTGGTACTTGTTCTAAAAATTAGAGGAGACTTAATCTATGTTCAAGTACTTAGCTTTTAAGCATTGCTTTCCACATAACAGCTGCCATATGTGTGAAAGCAATACATTTTAAACAGTTTGCGAGCCACTCAGCTCCCCTGAAGCCTTTCGATAAGAGGCTTATGTTCCCCCTGCAAAGAAGAGGAGGAAATAAAGGATGATGGGATGGAGAGAGAGAGAGGGGAGGGCAGGAAGGATGAAGGGATCCCTGATGCTCTGCCCCTCAGGAGATCAGAGAACTCAGAGTGGGTTTACAGGAAGTCAAAGGTGAGCAGGGTGGTGAGCGTCACTCAAGAGAGTTTGTTTTTATGTCACTCTGGAATAAATGATATGCGAGCTGTGGTGTGGAGCAACACTCAGGTGGCAGAAAAATGACACCACACTTTAAAGTTTTCTTTACAGGTAATAAACCCCACCTCATGTTGATAGATAGTACACATAGACTATATATAGAATGGACGACGTCTGCCTCCTCGCTGGGTGAAGCCACTCCGAGAACAGCACCCTCTGGTGACGGGCTGCAGTATAGGTCATAAATCCCACCTCCTCCAGCAATCCCTATGGAGCTGTGGACAAACTTTAGAAATTTATGACACAGAATATACATTTTTCTCCCCCCTGCTTGTGATGTTGACATGTAGTTATTGTAAGACTGGTTTGTGCTCAAGTCCTCTTTTTTCTGTGAAGCTCCATTTTTAAAAGTTATTAGGGGGTTCATGTTTGCTATGATTGACACCTGATACAGCCTATGGGGGTTCAGGGATTCTTCAGCTTCAAATCTGTATACTGGTAGAAGGGGGAACTAAGTTGTCCATAGTATATACAGTCTATGATAGAACATGAGTCGAATGAGTCTAACTCTGTGTTGTTTGACCCTAAATTAATTTTACGACGGAATAAATATGCGTTCTTCTGCATTATGAGTCATTTTTGCAGATCTTCTTTAAAAAAGTGACACAATGTGAATAACGAACAAAGTCTGAATCCCTAAGTGATAAAAACAAAATGAACAATGTGAGGCTGTTTATTCACCTTGTCCTTTTTTACGAGTGTCCCCTTAATCTTCCCTCCTTCCTGTCGGTCTAATCCTTACATTTCGCCCCTCTGCTAATCCAGCCTTCCTGCTCCCTCTGCCCTTCTCCTTGTTAAATCTCAGGGACAACTTGTGTATCTAGGGGCAGACAAACAGAAATCCGGCGACAGACAGAGGGGCAGAGATGCAGACAGAAAGCTGCCCCTGACTCACCAGCAGTCAGACAGTCAGACGGTTGGGACGGCAGACAGGCTGGCGGTGGGCGTCTCTCCGTTAACGAGGCCTGACAGCTTCCATGCAGGCTCATGCCGCAGTGAAAGGGAGGATTGGGTCAGATTCGGAGCGTTTGATGTCCGGGTGGCGCTTGCGTTTGAAGGCACCGCTCATTCTCTGCGTCTGTTTGCTTTTTTAAGCCTTGTTGTGTCAGACTGCCCTGGTCGCCTGGCACTGAGGCGGCAGACCCTTCAGTAAATCACCGTCAAAGACAAACAGCTTCATATTAATGTGCTGCAGCCAGCAAAATCTGATATTCACTCCACCTGTTTGGATGTGTGATTACCCAGCGTGCTCTCTTTTTCTCATAAATACAAGAGTGTTTGTCTCTATTGTGCCGCCGGAAGGATCTGACAATTTTTTGTGATGTAAGCCAGGAAATCCAGGGTTGGCGTGCCGGCCTGAACGCCTTGTCCATTGTCTGGCTGCTCGCTCACTGCTCCCATTGATGCTCTTCATCCAGCTGTAAAATCTGGTGTGGTGCTATAATGTGTGAGTGGTTGTTTGTGTGTGTGTGTGTGTGTGTGTGTGGACGTGGCATGGGGGGGTTGTGGGGGCGGATGAAGTCCACTCTGAAAACAAGATGTCACCCCCCTCAGACAGGTCAGAGCGGGGTAAGAGTGCAGCAGTGTTGGCATTGCAGGGATAAAAAACATGCCGTGTTTGCTTCCTGTGGGCTTCCTCTGCACTGTAACCCCCCCCTCTCTTTCTCTCTCTCTCTGCTGGCCGGAGCTATAGGTTTTCATGGTGCATTTCCCCTCTTCCACCGCAGACGTTCTGCAGTGTTTGACAAGAGGAGGGGGCAGATTACCATAACAGCCTCTGCAGGAACCTGGTCAGCATTAAAACACACTTCCTCTGGAAGTGGTTTTCTGCATAATCTGTTCCTCCTCCCACCATCACCACCACCACCACCACCCAACCTCAGAGTGGAAACCAGCAGCATCATTTCTTCTCTTGTCATGTCTGCTAATTTCCCTCTGCCTGTTTTTAATCCACACTTTGACTAAAGCCAACAGCAACTTTGTAGTCAAATAATTTAGTCATTCTGGTTCTTTTGAACATTCCTGACTTTTTTAAATCTGTGCATCAGTTACAATGATACTGTTGTCACATAAACTCCTAAAACATGATTGCATTCAAGCCAAAGCAGAGGACCGAATGTGACGAGAAGATATGCTGTTTGCACAAGCTAGGGTGACCATACGTCCTCTCTTACCCTGACATGTCCTCTTTTTAGGGGGCTGCCCGAGCTTGTCCGGCTTTGTCCGTGGAAGTTTATAAAATCCTTAAAATGTTCGCAGTTTTGTACGGAAGTTTCGAGTTTGTGTCACATGGACTTACTGAGTTAGAAGTGCGTAAAAGACTCTTGATATGACACGAAAAACTCTCAAAATTAACTTAGTGCGCCTCTGTGACTCCGCCCCTGTGTAGTCGTGTCCTCTTTTTGGGAAGTCAGAATATGGTCACCCTAACACAAACACAGCAGCTAGTCGAAGTTTCATAAAAGTACCTTTAGCTGCATTCAAACATGCGCAAAACTCCTCAAAGTCCTAAAAAGTCTTGTAGTGGGCTTCATGTGTGAACGTAAACCACCAAATTTTCCTTTGAGACTTCCCGGCCTCCTAAAAGCAACACGATAAATTCACAAAAGTTTAGTGTGAGCAGGTGGGCAGGATGATGATGTTTATAAAATGTAGACCCTAATAGGGACAGTAAGGATGTCTTTACATATTGTTGTTTTGGTTTTGTGAAAATCAAAGATCTATACAGTTTTGCATGCATGCACCTTTTTGCATATGCTTTCAAAAACGTCGACTTTTTTGGTTTTGGTCTAAATTCAACAGTAACATGTCAAATTCTGCAGACCTAACACAAAGTTTGCCCCAAAGTGGATTGTTCTTTCCACTCAGTGTGCTGGCTTACAGGAAAGTGAGACTTGTTTTTGTAATATTAACAGACTGCAGCATTTATGTGGTGCAACAGAAGAGGAAATGGGTTACTTGTGGCATAATTCCCTTTCTATGTTTGCAAGCCCACCAAGCACGAAGCCCAAAACCACATTTAACAGGAAAACACAAGAAAACAAAGCCAACACTAACCCGAGAAAGGAGCACATCCTTTGTTTCTGGGATATCTGAGGCACATTGAGGCTTTTCAAAATTTCAGCTCTGCCACATTCCACCACAAAACCCATCCGGGGGATAATAAGACCAACTCTTCCGATCAAAAAATGTTTTGCTTGCAGAGTCATCCATATTCTCACGTTCCCACATCCGCATCAGGAAGCAGCTCTGAGCTCAAACAACAGGTGGATCCCGACTCGGTCAGCTGGAGGCTGTGACACTATCAGAGGGCATGGGAAGGTCTCCGCAAGACTGCGGGGTACAATAAAATAAAGTATATAGGTAAAATATTTTACTTTTGTATATTTTTATTCTGTAATCAATCCAAGTTTTTAAATTCTGCTGTACTTCACCGCTTTTTCATGCAGCAATGACACTCTGCTTGGCTTTTTTGCTGTGGTTTTTATTGGAGTAAAACTGGTGCCAAAATTCGTCATTTAGTGCGAACTGTTTGCAACATGCTTGGACGCTAAACTAAGATGTTGGGTGAAAAAACCCTTCAGTGAGCGTAAAAGAGCATTTTCCATGGAGACCTTTGTTTAAGTTTTTTTATAAAGGTTTTTGAGATGTGCATTCGAAATATCTGCCTGTGTGAATCCATGCTGGGTGTACTTCCATATGATCAAACAAGGAGCAAAATCCAGAATAAGCGTAACTTAATGCCATGAGCCAAACTGTCTCAGTCAGACAACTCCTTGAAAACTGAAACTAAATGTTATTTATTGTAACGCTGTTTAATTTTTGGAGTTTGGTCCAAGCTCTTAAACTCTCAGCCTCTCCTGCAAAGATCGCCTCTCAGTCAGCATTACTTTAAGCATCTGATATGAACCTTCAGCGTTGTTGTTAAAAGCTCTCGTCATGACTTAAGCCTCAAACTTTTTACTCGGTTCAATCAACTCACTCCCCTTTATGCAACTGAATTTCAACAAATGTGGAGCGCTGCATGCATTGATTCATGCCCAATCATTGAAATGAAATCCTTCAAATGTCCACGGTTTTGTACGCAAGTTTTGAGTTTGTGTCACGTGGACTTACTGAGTTAGAAGCGCGTAAAAGATGTTCGATCCTACCCGAAAAACTCTCAAAATTAACTTTGTGTGCCTCTGTGACTCCGCCCCCGCGTAGTCGTGTCCTCTTTTTGGGAAGTCAGAATATGGTCACCCTACTGATTGGTAACTTTAGATGTGTAGAACATTGAATTACTTTTGTAGCTTGTTCATTTTCATTTTATTCTTTTTAGTATTTTATTTCACATAATTTCATCATCAGATCAAAATGACGTAAAGGTGCAAAAATTCACAAAAGAATAAAGACAATGGGCTTTTATTTTTCATTGTCAGATCCGATTTTGTGTCTATTTCATACTAAAATGTCGAGGTAGAGGTAGAATATTTTGTGAGGGCTGTTTATCTACCCTTTAAGCATCACTGTGTTTTGCATTGTGAGCATATTAGCATGCTGATGTTAGCATGTCTCAGAGATCCTGGCCTAAAAAGGTGACGGTTTTACAGAGATGCTGTTTCTGTTCCCTTTAATTGTCAAGGACAGCGTGCTAAAAGGACTTAGTGGGAGATTTGAGCTTAATGAAATGAGTAAAAAAAAAAAGCAGAAGATCACAAAGTGGAGAAGGACTGAAGGAGTTCAGCTGCAGAATAGAGTTACACACAGAGGAGCACAGTAGGAAAGAACAAAATGTCTAAATGGAGCAGAGGAAATGCACAGATCCATATGCTCTCAATAATAAATACATACACATGTGGAGTACACACACTTTCTCTCCCTCTCTCTCTCTCAAACTCAAACACACACACACACACACACACACACACACACACACACACACACATACACACACACACACACACACACACACACACACACACACCAGGGGTGGACAGTCAGAGCAGCGTGCCAGGACTTGAGGGGAAACAGATTGGAGGAATCGTCAGAGTGCATATTTTGGATTTCAGATCAGGTTTCAGCCTCTTGGCCCTGCTGCACCGGATAGATTTGATTAGGGCAACAACCACAGGCCAAATCTAATTAGCACATTATCCACAGCAGGATGTCAGCCGTGTGTGTCTGCATAAGGCACGACGTCTATACTGTTTCACGGTCATCAGGAAGAAACGGAGCGCCTCCTCGCATCATGCCATGGAGATTTTTGTCCCCCGCTTGATAAAACAAGCTGAGAGGAGTGAGGGGAAATACTGACAAAAACAGAGGGCTTTAAAATACAAGGACATGTCCAAGAAAGAGTGATTTTTACCCTCTGGCATGTGCTGTTGTAATATAGCTGTTTGAATGCTTGAAAGTTACAATCAAGCTAAATCTTTGAATGTGAAATATTTGACTTGTTTGGTTCTCACTTGTGAATATGTTACTTCTTTAGGGATCACTGATCTATGGCATCCTCTGAGATCACAAAAGGGACGAGGTAGAGACATCTGGCTATATGGAAGTACTTTAAGTGTCGGTAATGTACAGGAAGTTTTTTTTTTCTTCTGTGAGCTATACAGATTTAGTTTTGGCCACTCAGAGCAGAGTTTTTCTGAAAGGGGCTTAGACTTAACTGAGTGGGCACAGTGGTGTGGCTTTGCTGCTTGACTTGGCCATATCCTGACTGAAAGACTGAGAGGGGAAGGAAAGTTGCATCACAGAACTGACACATTATGAGGATCTTTGGAGGATTTAGCTTTGTTCATTGTTCGCCCGGGACCCCGTGGACGGACTTAACTGCTTGAATCGGTCATTAGCTGTTGGTCACTTCCTATAAGTGATGTGAAGACCACCCAGTCTTAAGATTGATTATGCTGCATAGGTTGTGTGTTGTTATTTTTGTTCTTGGCAGACGTTTACCTAATTCACCTGTTATGTAGTGGATGATCCACGTCTTTAGAATAGCCTCCACCTTCCTCAGTAGCCACGTTTACATGGGCAAAATTTCTTGATCTGTTTAAAAATTTGAGGGATCGGATAATCTGATTCCAGTGTTTATAAAAGCGCAAAATCAAATCATCCGATCAAGCTTTATTCAGATAAGAAGCATTTGGACATGCGCAGAGTTGTCTGATTTCACTAAAACAGCCGCAGAAGAAGAAAAGTTGTATTTCTGCCTGTGCTGTCAACAAACCAACCAACGCAGTAGTGGCTCACGTTATCCAATTAAGGAGTTTTCCCCCTGTTAAATGTTGTCACTAGATGGCGCCCTTGCGTACTTATTTTTACTGTTCTGTCAAAGGTTGCGCTGTGTGTGCAGATGTGACATCATTACGCTGTATGTACACCTTGTTATGTTACCGGAGGAGCAGACATGATGGCACCTGTGGTTGTGTTTTATGCCAGAGTGTTAATAATGAAACCTCCTGTACTGACCTCGATAAATAAAGAGTGAAGATCGAGTCAGGTAAGAGAGTTACGATCGGAATAAGTGTTTACAAGGATGCGTTTCAAAATAACGATCGGCATAAACCACCCCTCTTGATCGGAATACAATTTCTTTCCAATCGAGCCGAATTGGATCAGAATGTTCTGATCGACATGTTTCCATGACGCATTTTTATTCTGATTATTTGTGCCCATATAAACACGGCTAGTGTGCATCTCTCCACCACATCCGTCTGTTGGTCCAACTTGATTCCAACTGAAGAGCCAGCTTTTTTCACCAGTTTGTCTCAATGTTGAGTCTGTATCCTAGCTACAGTATCATAGAGACCATCACAAGAAACTTCAGCTGTTGCCTTGGGTGAGATATGTACAAGTATTGTTATAATATGACTGAACTCCCTTGGGACACAATATGGTTGAAGAGCAACTGCCAACAGTCCAATATCTGGACAACATAACTTCTCCTCGACGGTTATGTGTGAAGAGTTACACCATCTCTGGTTCACAAACCCTAACCCTAACAAGCCACAGGTAACAAGGATGAGGCAAGAAAAAGGGGAGCAGCAAGATAGGTTCAATCATGTTTCCTGCAAACATATGAAAAGGGATTCGAAAACCCTGAATACGGTCTGTTACTATTCAGAGCAAGAAAACAGAATAACAAAAAAGTAAATGAGAAGTCCATTTAGATCTACAAAAAAATTCCAAAAACAGTCAACATCCAAGAAAACAAAGCAACGAAGAAAGGCTGGGATAGTTCCTTTGAGATAAACTGGCACTGAAACAGTGGAAGGTCGAGGTTACAGACTATAAAGGAGAGTTGAAGTTTATCAGACGCAGATAAAACTTATAAAGAGCAGGTGTAAAAGACTGAGGTCAAGATACACCATCTCACAGACAGAAAAAAGCAGCAGAGGAGGACAACTTTGATCTGCTACAGAACAAAATAATGTGCCAAGTGGTTCTGAGAATATTGACCTGAAATGAATAAATGAATTCAGCTGTTGTAAAAGAAGTATATCTCTGTGGGGATTACAACAGCAGTAATTCAGTCGAGAGTGAAAAGGTCAGGATCTATCCGTCATTCATTTGCAAATTTCTGAAATATAGATGTCTGCAGTTCGAGAAAATCTTCTTTGCCTGACCGTAGCTTATAGAGACATGTGACTTCAGCCTGACATAAGGGTTAAAGGTCAAGGTTTAGGCTGACCGAGGCCAGTGACCCTGCCATCTTTGCAGCTCAGCCCTCCAGATACACTTTTGTGAAATAGTGTCACATAGAGGTTGATGAGGTTTGAACTCAGTGTTGAATCACTAAAGAGAAAAGAAAACAAAAAACAGTCCTCTTTCCAAAGAAGGCCTGAAACCAGTTTAGAGGCACAAAGATGCATGTCACGTTGAACAGGTGCGACACATAAATGAAAATTAACATGACTTAGAATAAGAATAAAAATGAGGTTAAAAGAATTGTGCGTGCGTCGCCACAGGTTGTCTTTTGCTGGAATCAAACAAAAGCTCTGACCAAGAGTTTTGAGTGTATGACT